AGTGTAGAGGAGAAAAAACCGAGTGTACGAAAACGCAAAAGAAAAAAGTTAGTTTTTTTTCTCTCTTTCGAATTCTTGTGTTTGTTGTATAGTTAGAAAGCTCCCACCTTGAGGTTTAGAGAAACTAAAGTAGCTCTATCGAATTAGACCAGACAAGTCCGAGGAGAAACCCAAGAAAAAAGGAGGCGGCTTTACCAAAGTTTGCAGTCTTTCACCAGAGCTTCAAGCTTTTACTGGAATACCACAGTTAGCTAGAACAGAGGTACAAAACTGACCTTTAGTGAATCAGTTCCTCGAGCTTCTTGGGGTGTGACGATTCTTAATCTGCTGAATGAAATGTTTTTCAGGTTGTGAAAATGCTTTGGAAGTATATAAAGGAGAACAATTTGCAAGATCCATCTGATGGAAGGACAATAATATGCGACGAAACATTGCGGTCTCTGTTCCATCTCGAGTCTATCAATATGTTTCAAATGAATAAAGAACTAACCAAGCACATCTCACCTCTAGTACCGAAAGAGGAAGGTATTTTACGAGTCAATTGTTCAACTATATCGCCTCTATGGTCTCTACCGATAGGCTTTTGATAAAAAAATTTGCTTTCTTTGCGTACATTAATCTTTGCGCGTGTTTTCTCCAGCAGGAACATCTAATGATCCAGAGAAGGGAAAGCTGAAGATAGACGAAGGTACAAAAAATGAAATCAAAACCAGAGTTTTTGTTTAATCAATTCCTAGCCAAGGTGAAAATCAAATCATCTACCTTTTTAAACTATACAGATAACGACGAAGCGAATGAAAAAGAGGCCACTCTCATGAAGACTGAACAATGATTAGTCGTCACTGGAAAGGGGTCAATTTTGGTAAGCTTTTTCATATAGACGAAACGATATTAACTGATGTTGCGTATGCATTTGTTAACTCTTGGTAATATATAGTGTCAAAACTGGACCCTGACCAGTGCTGTTTTGACTCGTGACTTTAAACTTAATGCAATGAAGAAAAAAGAGTGATGTGCGAAAATGTTTCCACCGATCACTCTTTTTGTGTTAAAGTTTTGGTTATGATCAGAGCTGTTTGGAAACATTTTCAATGCTGATCTTAAAAAAAATCACAAGATATTTTCTTTGAATAAAAAATGTGCCTTATTATATTAAAAAAATTACAAGGTGTTTTGTGTGTTTCAATCAATCAAAACTTGAAGTCAAAAACTCTGTTTTGGTTATCAACAGAGTAAAGTCAACCCCATATTGGTTCAAAAACATTTTGCCCACCAAAATGCGATCTAATTTTTAGAAAACCGAACGCACAATAAAACTATTTTACCATCTTCTCTATAATTGGATTGAATTATTTTTCCGTGTTCCCTTGACTTAAACACGGAAACGAAGACCCAAACGCAATGTTCCACTAAGGACCACAAGATTGCTTTCCCTTATATAAACATGCTATTCGATCAAAAACAAAAAATACCTAGCTAAAGTCAGAATCTGGAGACTGAAGCTGAGTTTGTTTCTCTTTAACTTGAGAGATTCTTGGTTTTCTCTATTTGGCTAAATTTGTAATCTTGTCTAAAAGAGAAGATGGGCAAGGCGAGTGAAATGGTAGCAGGTGCTTTTGGGGGAGCTATAGTCTCTGAGATCATGAAATTTGTGATTGCAGAGGCAAAAACAGTGTTGGCATTCAAATATGTGTCTAAGGATCTTGCATCAACGATGGAAGATTTGCATCCGATAATCACAAAGTTCGAATCGTTGCAAAGAGTTGAACAACTAAAGACTCTGATGGATACGATCGCTAATGCTCGTGTCTTGGTTCAGAAATGTTCAGGCGTCCAGCGATGGAATCTACTAAAAAAGTACTATTATACGAGAAAAATCATGAGAATTCAAAAGGAGATGGTCAGTTTCTGTCAGGTTCAGCTACAGATTCTTCAGCATTGGAACCAATTGCAGTCTATGGAAGAGATTAAGCAGCTTGACGTTTTGATGAATGAGATTAATACTAATCACCAAATACTCATTAAGAAGATGGAAGATGTCATGGAAGCTCTTCGTGTTGGGTTTGAAACTAAACCGTGCTCACTCGACATTCAAGAAAACACTAGCAGTTCAACCTCCTTGCGCAAGCTTCTGAGTACATCATGCTGAACTGATCAATGCAAGAATCTCCGAGTTAGGTAAGGTGGTAGATTATAAAATGCAGCCTTCCGACTTCAGTGAGATTCATTTTGAACACAAAACTACGAGCTATATATGTTCTTTTCACATCTCTTTGTATTCATTTGGTATCATCTTAGGCACATCACGAGAATGTAGACCTTAATTCTCTTTTATCCGATAATCAGAGATATAGATGTGAGATTTAGCACTAACATCCTCAAGTTGTTTACCTGGTCCGGAGGAATCCCTTCCTTGTCTTGAATCTTTGTTTTGACGTTGTCAATGGTGTCTGAGCTTTCAACTTCTAAGGTAATGGTTTTACCAGTGAGTGTTTTCACAAAGATTTGCATTCCACCGCGTAAACGAAGGACAAGGTGAAGGGTTGATTCCTTTTGAATGTTGTAATCCGCGAGAGTGCGACCATCCTCGAGCTGTTTGCCAGCGAATACGAGTCTCTGCTTCCTTGTCGTGAATCTTCGCCTTGACGTTGTCAATGGTGTCTGAGCTCTCAACTTCTAGTGTAATGGTTTTACCGGTAATTGTCTTGACAGAGATCTGTAAAAATATTCTTATGTGACCTATGTGTCTTTCGGTTTAATTATTAAAGATCAAGTTCATATTAAAGTTAAGGATTCTAATATAAAAGARGATACCATGATGGATTGGTTTCGATTAAAGACATTAGAATTCGGGTGTATTGATAACCCTCCTCCCTTACCTTATTATATAGTAAAGACCTTTCTCTAATGTTTG